AAGTTTTCTCTTTTGCAGATAAGAAAATCCCTAGGCCCCTTCCAACTCTAAATTCTGAAAACTTCTTGGTTCACATATTGGTTACTGACTTCGAGACCCCCCCCAGATCAAGAGTCAACCATATTTTCCTGCGGAAGAACTTGATGTCTTCTTCTGTTTTGTAGACAGGCAAGAGGACACTGCAATAGAGTGCAATTCTCTGACTTACAGTTAGCATCTAGCAAACCTTGCCAACCAGCATGGGCACCAGCTCACTCTGGAGACTGATCACATGTACTGCATTTGGAGACCCCTTTACTGGATGATAACTCCTGATCTATCCATCCTTATAGTTGGTATAACTCAGCAGTCCTATTGGTCAGCAAATTATCTGTGCTGCCCTCTCAGATCCGCCCATGCCTCACAGGCATTAATTTATACTGAAGCCGTTTGGCTCTGTGTTTCAGATTTGCCCTTTATGTTCTTCTGACGACTCTTTGAGACAAAGTTAAAGATTATGAACCTTAGCTTGAACTGACTGGTGTCATGGCAACTAGCACTTCACCTTTTGCTGGTCTCTACCTCATACATGCTACAATATTTGTGCACATTAATAATTCATTGCAAAGTGCCAGATTTCTTTGTGCTGTCAAGCAGTGTCAAGGACAGAATATGCTGTGCTATCTCAAATGTCATCTACCAGACTGTTGAGGGCAAGAGTAATTAGAAAAGAAAACTAGTCAGGTTACTTGGGAAAATTCCTGAAAATGTGATGCTTTCTAGTCACCCAACTATAGCATTTTTCTTGCAAAATATGGACTAGAATTCATGTTGATCAAAGTTTGTTTAATAATGCGCCCCAGACATAAGGCAGGAGTTTGGAGTAATTGCTCGCCTCTATTCAGGCAGCAAAGGAAATGATTAACAGCCTTCGTGCTCAGTCACGTGTACTGGGCTCCAGCAGGAACCTGAGCACAGGCTTAAAAGAAACCCGAGTGGTCCTCATGTGGGTGCTCCTACCCCAAGCCTGCCTTTGCCCGACACAGAGCAGAGCTGAGTAAATGTTTGACACCAGCTTTAGAAACAAGCTGTCTGGGATCTCAGGCTGATTAGCGGCCCTAGATAGCTTTCTTCACCTCTCAGTTCCCACCGCGCAGCTCTTTGGTGGTGGTTGACGCTGTGAGTGGTTGTTATAGTAATTGCAGTGTTGCCTGTAATTAATGAGCCTTTCAAATAAAGAATATGGATCTTTGTCTTAAAATGTAGAAAATGCAAAGATACGTTGGATTTAATTTATACAGAAGGCCAAATTTGTCCTTGATTAGGCAAAGAAATCAAGTTTTAAACTGAACATTGACCCACCTGTGCTTTACAAAACAAAACAATCTCCCTCTCAAAAGAAAGCTTCATATTACAACAAGCCAATCTGTGTCATACTTTACTCTTTAAAATTGGAATGTATTTCCCCAAATGTTTATAGCCCACAGTTGGAAAAGATTTTTTTCACATAGCCGTATCTGGATTGTTTGGTTTCTCTTTCTCTCTCCCTTCTTCTCTCTTCCCGCCTCCTCTCTCTCTCCCTCTCTCTCTCTCTCTCTCTCTCTCTGTCCCCCTCGCCCTTTTTTGTTTCCTTTTCCTTTAAACCAGTAGCTTAACTCTTCTTCAAACAATTTGGGGGTGGGGGGAGGGTCCCACAGTGGGAAATGTGTCCCCAAATCACATTTTTTAGAATATGCAGCCATAGTACCCTCCTTATGGAGAAACTGGAACTATTTTATATAACTTAATACCACCAGATTCATTTCAGGGCAAGAAGGGGAGGGGACATTAATCAGTTTCAGAACCTTGCAACAAATTACACTTAAAGAACAGTTAGGAACTTGTTAATCTTCTGTCACCTACCTTGATGTGGTGCTGGGGATCTGGATTAGTCATTTAACACCTGCAGGCAAGACCAGAGCACGTGAATACAGGGAAGTCATTAGAGCCAACCTGCTATGATATCTGAGTTTCTAGTCAGAGCCAGCCGCTGGCTCGAGTTAGAGTGGACATGTGAGTGAGTGATTCAGATTTGTCAGGTAACCAAGTACATGCCTGGCTAACTTTTTGTATTTTTTTGTAGAGTCAGGGTTTCACAGTGTTTCCTAGGGTGGTCTTGAACTCCTGGGCTCAAGTGATCCTCCTGCCTTAGCCTCCCCCAAAGCTTGGGGATTACAAGTGTGAGCCACTGTGCCCAGCTGTTTTCTAGTTTAGATTGGAATACATAAACTCCATTGTGATGTTACTTTTTTTCAATTCTGTGATATAATAACCATGTATAAATTATAGAGCCTAAAGTTGAACCCATAATAACCTGAAGTACCAGTTCTTGACTTTTTTTAGTAACAGATCAAAATAATAATTACTGTCATAATTACTCTTTCTGTTTTTACTACTACAAAGAAATACAATCAAGCTGAAACATGTGTCTCTCTTCCTCAGCATTGTACTTGGGCAATGCAGTAATAAGGAGTGGGTTCACTTGCTGTATTAGTCTGTTCTCATACTGCCATACAGAAATTCGTGAGACGGGGTAATTTACAAAAACAAGAAGTCTAATTGGCTCATGGTTCTGCAGGCTGTACAGCAAGCATAGAGGCTTCTGCTCCATTTCTGGGGAAGCCTCAGGGAGCTTTCAATCATGGTAGAAGGCAAAGGGGGTACAGCAGTAAACACTGCGGAAGCAGGAGGAAGTGAGGGGGTGGGTGGGGGTGGGGGCTGCACACATTTTAACAACCCGATCTCGCAAGAACTCACTATCACTAGAGCAGCACCAGGAAATGGTCCTGAACCATACATGAAAGATCACTCCCATGGTCCAGTTACCTCCCACCAGGCCATACCTCTGACATTGGGGATTATAGTTGACATGAGATTTGGGTAGGGCCACAGATCCAAACCGTATCACTAGTTCTCCTCCACAGTGCCTGTCTCTGTGTAGCAAAGTAATTTTCCCTTAATATTTGGAAGATTGATCTGGGTCTTCCAGCTTAGTCTGGAACAGTCAGACAAATAAGTATAAGACAATCAAAATCAAAACACTATTAAACATATAATCATGTTAAGGTGAATGGTACTGACTATACGTCTTACAGAAATATAGACAAAGTCAGGCTGACCTAGAATAATATTAGATAAAGGTTTAACACCCTAACTATCTTCAATAAAGAATTATTAGGAGACTCCAGTGACATAAAGCACTTTGAAAAGTATGAGAGACTATATAAATATGTGATGAATATTACACTTTGATTTACATAGGAAGGGTCAGGGATAGATTATCAGAAGAGTTCCTGGGTCAAATGACACAGGTGAGAATAAGCATTTCATGGGTACTGATGAGGAAACTCAAACGGTATGAGTTGGGACTGGGGTGATGCTTGATGACTGGGGAAGACCTTGGGATACTTCACAAAAATTCATGTGGCATCTGTATGAATAATTGATGGGAGCATAGAAAAACATCAGAATTAATGGAATTGCTGTTTTCAAGCTTTACACATAAAAATTATAACAAATTAGATCGGGTCAAGGGCAGTGGCTCATGCCTGTAATCCCAGCACTTTAGGAGGCCGAGACGGGAGGATCACTTGAGCCCAGGAGTTCAAGACTGGCCTGGGCAACATAGTGAGACCCCTTCTCTACAAAAAATTAAAAATTAGCTGGGCATGGTGACGTGCATCTGTAGTCCCAGCTACTCGGGAGGCTGAGGCAGAAGGATCACTTGAGCCCAGGAGTTCGAGGCTATGATTATGCCATTGCACTCCAACCTGGGCAACACTGCAAAACCCTGTCCCCCACCCCACCCCCACCCCCCCAGAAAAAAACCCGCAAACCCAAATTAGGTTTCATGCAAAAACTCAGTGATACCTTAGCCAGTAAATCCTCTGAGAAGGGAATGCAGCTCTTCCTTAAGTCTGCTCTGTAGTGTTTGGTTGTGTGGGTTTTTTTAACTTCATAAATCATGGGAAGCTGTGCTGGCAGTAGGAGATAACTCAGCAGTAGACAGATTGCTCTTCACTGCTTTCTTTTAAGAAGCAGGTTATAAAACTGTTGGGAGCCTGGTAGAGTAGTTAATAGATCATTGTAAGCAATTTGAAGTAATTTTTTTTTTTTTTGTCTGATACAGCCTTGCATTTTGAAGACAAGCGAGCTAGAGAGAAAAGAGTTTAGTGAGTAAGAAATCAGCGCCGCCTCTGATTTTGTGCCACCTCTAGCACAAGTTCCAGGGCCCCTGGGTCCCCCACCCTGGAACGTGTGCCACACTCTGCCTCACTGTGTGGCCAGTCACCTGCATCTGTGGCAGAGTCCTTGCAGTGAAACCCACGTTGGAATGTGACTGTTCAGAATGATACACGTTCTTGTCAGTGTACAGTTGGCATTATAATATGTTTTTCACAAAAATAGTTCTATAATTTACCCTGTTTTTTACATCCTAAAATACTTTGTCTCCTGTTAGTTCACTTTGGTGGTAAGCCTTGGGATTCCAGAGCACACTGCTGGAGTATCTCTTCATTGATGGGTCTGTTACTATGTAGACATCGCCATAAGGCACACATTAATACAAGGCAATGTTTGTAGTAGGCTGTGGTCCCTCCCAAACCATGAGATAGCTGCATTGAAGTGTCATAAGCAGAAACAAATCTCTGGCTTGGGAGTACTTTAAATTAGCAGATAACTGTCACTTGAAAGGTGATTAAGAACCTTCTGCCAATGGCTCTCTTTTCATCTCTAGACACTGTCCACAAAAGCTCTTACATTACAGTCTTGTCGGTCATGACTTACAATAGGCCTGCCATGCTGATGATACAGTGCTAAGCTAACCAGACAATTAAAAGATCTTCTTGATAAACGTAAAATATTTTTAAAGGAATTGGGAAATGTAACATCTTGTGAATAAAAATTTGTTTTGTGATCTTGGATTGGGTTTTAGATGAAATTCATGATGTCAGTTCTAAAACTTGAATCTAACTTTGTTTCAGACCACTAAGGCTTTTCTTCCTACGATGCTGGAGATTAATCATGGTCATATTGTGACAGTTGCAAGTTCCTTGGGATTGTTCAGTACTGCCGGAGTTGAGGTTTGTCAGATATATAGCATTTCTTTCATTCAATCTGTTTATCCTGTGATAAGTACATCAGAACCTCCAGGAGAGCACCTGCTGCGCCTCCATTCATGAAAGCTGCACAAAGGCACTCTGCATGTGTGCTGCGTATAGGATGTTCCACAGGAACCCAGGGCCAGCCACTGGAAGGGAATTCTAAGTCAGGTGTGGTGGCGTGCACCTGTAGTCCTAGCTACTTGGGAGGCTGAGGTGGGAGAATCGCTTGAGCCCAGGTGTTCCAGACTGCAGTGAGCTATGATGGCACCACTGCACTTCAGCCTGGGAGACAGAGCAAGACCCTGTCTCTAAAACAAAATGAAAAAAGGGAATGGACTTCTGCCTCTTCTGCCATAAAATCTCTTACACTAGTTTGACAAAGCAGCAGCAACAAGAAAAGTATATGGGCCAGCCCTCAGTGTGTCCATTTTTATTAGCAGCTTCGCTTGACGATGGCAGGAGGCACAGGGCCAAGAATAGAACCATGGAAGGCTGCGGGAAACAGAAGAATGAGGCCAGAGGTTCACGTTCGGTTGTGGTCACCTTGCCAAAACTGAGCTATCTTGTATTAATTAGCCCATCAGATGAGGTGGTCAGGTATCCTGCATTGTAAGTTTGTAGAATTGTAGAACTGGATTTCATCAAACCCTGTTCTTCACGATATTCAGATGATAAAGCATGAGTACATATATTGTTCTATCCTGTTTGTCCTCTGCATGCCTGTAAAACTGAAAACATCACTCCATGCAAATATGCAAAAGGACACATTATTTAAATAGCACCCATATCAAGGGATTCCATTTCTAAAGTTGGGTCATGGACAATAACTTTTTTCCTATATTGTGTGCCCTTAGGTTAAGTTCTAGTTTAAGATTACAAGGCATGGTTATCATTTTCATTTTAACTTCACCATACAAAGAAAGTCAAATCATAACAATTTATAGCCTAAGCTAGATTTGCCTTTATTCTTCTTGCATTAAACAAACTGGTTTTTCTTTCTCCTTTACTGAACAAGAGACCATTTGTAAATTTTCCAGACACTTCAAAGTGAACCTCTCTCCATTTTAACTTCAGCTTGTTAGCTTTCATAGAATCCTTTATGGTAACTTCCCCAAAGTAATATGATACTTAGTTGATGTGACAAAAAGCATTCATCTGTTTCTGCTGTTGCTTTGAAAATATTATTTCTGCACTGAACCACATCAGGTATCTGTCTTTGTTTTTGTTTTGTTTTGTTTTGTTTTTTTGAGATGGAGTCTCACTCTTATTGCACAGGCTGGAGTGCAGTGGCATGATCTCGGCTAATTGCAACCTCCACTTCCCAGGTTCAAGCAATTCTCCTGCCTCAGCCTCCTGAGTAGCTGGGACTACAGGCACATGCCCAGCATGCCCAGCTAATTTTTGTATTTTTAGTAGAGGCGGGGTTTCACCATTTTGGCCAGGCTGGTCTCGAACTCCTGACCTCAAGTGATCCAGCCACCTTGGCCTCCCAA